CATTAGCATTTAGCGTAGTACAATCTCACAGAGCTGGCTGTAGACTCTTAGTCTTGTTGAGCTTATAAACATAACTACATATAACATGGGATGCGTACAGTTGAATTCGGCTTTGTTGCATGTCTCCCCCCTCGCTCTTCTATTTGTAGTCATCTCATGCAGAGTAGATGCTTCAAAAAAGGAATGGAAAGCAATTCAAATATTGAACAAGGTTTCCTTAAATATATAAAAGTAATAATGCGCTGACTCTCTTATTGACTGGTTTGCAGCACACCCATCTTTTAAATGACCTCCATACTGTTAATGATCCACCTATGTATGGATTTTTAAAGATTGTGTCTGATCCTGCTGTGGCTGAAGAAATGTAGAGATGCTGCTGTAATGTGTACAAAGGGATCTGGAGAAAAAGCTTGGCTGTCCATCAGTCACAAAGGCAGCATGGTTCCGTCTGCAGAAGGTCCGGCCCCATGGTGCCTGACCTTCACAATTCTCCTCACTCCTTGCATTTTCTCTCTTCGTATCAGTGTGGTCTCTCAAACTGAAATATTGATGTGAATATTTTTTTTAAAAATGAAAGTGCCATCACTTCAGTCAGGTGTGGAAGTGAGTCTCTGACAGATCAACAGTATGGGTTCACCTCCTGTGGGCCTGTGTGTGTCAGTGTATGTTTTTCAAGTGCATGTGCATCTGGGTATGTGCATCCGCAGTCCATTCCTTCAGCTTGGCATATTTGTTTGTTTCCTTCCTTATCTTGACACAGAATCTGCATTATTTGTAATCACTAGTATATATTTTCACAGTCCTTGTTTTTTGTGCTCAGTACCTTTTCCTGTGATTACAAAATTGGATAAATTCATGCTTATTATTACCTGTTGATGAGATTATAATGCAGATTTTGTTTTAGATGTCTTCACCCTTTGTAACAGCTCAGTGAGTGCACTGGTTTTGTAAGAGCAGGAATAACTTAGTTTAAAACAAGATTCTTCACAGGCAGTGTTTAGCTCCTTCTCCAGCTGGCGTAATGTGCAATTACGATTTTCTTTTCTAAAATGGCTCTGTCATCATAGTAAGAAGTGAGGAAAGATCTGACTTTGATCACGTCCTCAAAGTCCTGAGTCTTTATAGCAAGTCAGCTTTGCAGAGTGTCCCTCCCCTCTCCCCACCTGCAGTGCTCATATATTTTTCAGCAGCAAAGAGCTTGGGGGAGAGCCAGGTACACTATTAGAGGGATGACTCAGAACTGGGACTGGATGGCTTCACAGACTGGAGGTAATCCTGGCTCCTCGACCTGAAAATAGCCTGCATCGTCCTCTTACGTCTCCTCATTTTGCAGCACTCTGATACCTTTCAGAACCCCTACTTTTTCACTTTATACTTTATACATATCCTTTCCCATAAATCTTCTTCCACAGACTCTCTTTTTTGTTCTTTTTCTTTTTACCACCTTTAAACCCATTCTTTTATCCTCCAGAATGTTGTCCTCATCTTTTATTTTCACTTCTATTTCACTCAAAATCCCACTTCTTTTCACCTTCTTCCCCCTCCTCCCCCATCCTTCGAAATAAAAAGGAGGTACTATTTGGGGGCGGGGGGGCATGTGAGCCTGGACTCACATGGCATGAAGGACGAAAACACAAAGGAAACGGGGTTGGGAAAAAAGAAAGAATTGATTTTCCAGTCGAAGAGGCCTTCCAGTTAAGTAAGTCTGCCCTCAGGGCTCTGACTGGCTCAGGCCAGCTCCTGATGGGAAAGGCCAGCCAGTGACCTTAAGACTCAACTGATCATGTTTTTCTATTCAGAGATGATGCATTTCATCGATCTTTATTAGAATGCCAGAGTATTCATTCACAGGCAAGTGCTGGCACTGGTGGATCAGAAAGGTGTACCCAGTGGAAACTTTGTAAGGGTGTTTTATATTTTGTGTGTGTGTGTTTACATGTGTGGGTACATTTCTGTGAATGTCAGCCTAACCCTGTTTGCCCTTCAAGAGGAGCACAGCGCTGCATCCCCTCTGGCATTTCAGTGAGGTGGAGTAAGTAACGGGATGAGAGACGGAAAGAGAAGGAGACATATCACAACACACACACACAGTACCGTTGGCTGGCTGGCAGCCATGACAGATGGGGGAGTTCAGTTCATGGGAGTTGCCATGGAAACCAGCATCAGTGCTACCCTGAGCTCCTCCACTCTGCATAAGCCAAGATACAGAAAAGCACACACACACTCTGCAGAGGAGTGCAGCGTGGGCAGCAGAAACATTTTGCTTGGTGTTTATGACTTATTGTTGTTGCACAAGTCTGTGTCATCGGGTTCACGACTCATTTCCTCAGTTTAGATTGGAGGGGCAGAGATTGCTGGCTTTGTGTGAATCCAACGGTAATTGCAGTTAATGGATTTGTTTACGAATGACGCTGACAGCCATGATCAGTAACTGTGCTAGCGAGAAAGTGTGTCACGACGGGCACCTGATTGAACGGAAACATATGTATGTGTATTTGTAATGCTTTTAGCTTCCTGTCTCCGCCCCTCCCCTCTGAGCCACTTTACATTTACAGTCTTCCTCTCACTCACTCTCAATCGGAGAATAATTATCACCCAGTCATCTTCTCATTCACCCTCATATTTACATCGCATATCCTCTCTCTCTTTCTCTCTCTCTGAACAGCAGCCTCAAAATTTATGCCTTTTTTCTTTGCACTCTGATTCCCGTCATCGATCCTGTTTAAGAGCAAACGAGGCCCAGCATCCATTCACCCAGAATGGGTCTAACTAGATGTGACATGCACTAAAAGCCAATCCGCTGCTGCGCTGCGTTCCAGCCCAACAACGGCATATGGATCATTACTTCAACAGCACTCCTGCTTAATTTCTTCTCTGTTATTCATCTTAATTTTCTTAGTCACATACACTCTTATTCCATCACACACACACTCATATATCCCCTGATTTGCACAATTATACTCTGCATCATACTCTCCTACATATATTCTCATGTCGCCCTGACATCTGTAGTCATGAAGTCCTTTGAAAAACTGGTGTTTGCCCATCTGAAGGACATTACGGTTCCCTTGCTGGACCCCCTGCAGTTTGCCTACAGGGCTAACAGGTCAGTGGATGATGCTGTCAACTTGGGACTGCATTATATCCTGCAACACCTCGACTCTCCAGGGACATATGCAAGGATCCTGTTCGTGGACTTCAGCTCAGCGTTCAACACCATCACCAAACTCACCCAGCTCACTGTGCCAGCCTCCAACTGTCAGTGGATCACAAACTTCCTGACTGACAGGAGTCAGCAGGTGAGGCTGAGGAACATCAAATCCAGCACCAGGACTATTAGTACTGGCGCCCCCCGGGGGTGTGTGCTTGCCCCCCTGCTCTTCTCCCTCTACACCATCTGAGACCTATCTGTCAAACTCCTGAAGTTTGCTGACGACACTGTCATCGGCCTCAACCGGGTTGGTGATAAGTCAGCCTACAGACGTGAGGTTGATCAGCTGTCTCTCTGGTGCGGGCAGAACAACCTGGAGCTTAACACGCTCAATTCTGTGGAGATGACCGCGGACTTCTGGAGGACCCCCCCACTCTGCCCCCCATCACCATACTCAACAGCCCTGTGTCTGCTGTGGAGTCCTTCAGGTTTCTGGGTTCCACTGTATCCCAGGACCTAAAGTGGGCGCCCAACACGGACACCATCATCAAGAAGGCCCAGCAGAGGATGTACTTCCTGCCGAAGGTACTGCTGATTTACACAGAAATCATCCAGTCTGTCCTCTGCACGTCCATCACTGTCTGGTTTGGATCTGCCACCAAAAAGGACAGGAGCAGACTACAAGAGACAGTCAGGACTGCAGAAAAGATCATAGGTGCCAACCTGTACTCCATTCATGACTGATACATTTCCAAAGTCAGGAAACAGGCAGGAAACATCACTGCAGATCCATCTCACCCCGGACACAACCTGTTCCAGCTTCTCCTCTCTGGTAGGTGCTACAGAGCACTGTACGCCAAAACCAACAGACTCAGGAACAGTTTCTTCCCACAAGCCGTCACTCTGAACAGCTGACTTCTGACTCACAGTGTCAGGAACAATTCTTGTGCAATAACCCAGTAACTCTGCCTCAATTCAGCCATTTACTGATTACCACTTATTATTTATTCATCATTCTCTCGTTTTCTATTTCAGAGCTGTTCATATTGTTCATATTGTATATTGTATATACTGTAAAATCCACCTACCTCAAGTACATAACACCTGCACATAATACTCCATCACACTGTGTATACAGTATGTGTACTTGTAGCATATGTATGCTTGTATGTGTATGTGCACCTGTAAATCTCATCCACCTCCGTCCACCTGTTGTTAATAATAATAATTAATAATAATAATAAAACATACCTGGCAATAAAGCGGGTTCTGATTCTGAAAACATACTATTATACCATTATACTCTTTTGTGATAGGATATGTAAGATAAGAGGTGTCCCTAAACTCATCATGGCTTTATTTAAATGCTCCTTGTAGCAGCTACTTGCTTGTTTTTTCACCAAGGCTGTAAACCAACCAGGAACCGGAAATTTAAACTGCAGCACCTTCCTGTTCAATTAAACTACTGTCCTTTTTCAAAGGAATAGTTCCACATTTTTGGAAATTCTCTTACCCGTATTTGTTTTCTTTGTTTTCCAACTATATGACCAATAATCCATTTCTAATTTCTCTCACCCCGCACAGGTCACAAATAGATCTGCATATTTTATTCTGTGTGTTAAACTACGACTGAATGTAAAATGAAGCCACTAAGGCAAGCTGCTTATATACTGTGTTAGGGTAGCAGTAATAAGAGTAAATGAGTAAACTTGTATTGTGTCCAAAAATGTTAATAGTTTGCTTTATCACATGTACAATCTTACACCTGCCGGTGTCCAATAACTTACGTCTCTGTCTCCCTTTCCTCTGCTCTTTCTTTCTTTCTCCATCTTTTATTCTTTCTCTGCAGTGAGAAGAGGAAGCTGCAGGTGAACATTGCGAGTCCCATCCAGTGCAGCATGAACGGAAGGAAGTGCACGATCATTGTCGAGCCCAAGATCAACCAGTCACATCCAGACTTCACAAAGAGCCGATCTGGTTACATCCTGGCTGTCCCCGGCAACTGAAATGGGCCAAACGGCTATAACAGTGACAGCGATTCCAAACCAGGCCGGGATAATGATCATGAGTCACTTCTCGTGTATGTTTGTTTTTGCAGAACTGCTGGTAATGTGGCGATTTAGATAGCAGCTCTGTAGGAGGATTGGGGTAATTTTCCAATTCCAAATTTGACCTATTGTGTAGATTTCTATGCAATGTTACTATAAACAGGGAGTGTACAAAACACCTACATGCAAAATGCTATTGGCTAAACAGGTTTTAAAACTACACAACAGGATAATCCACCAAAGTGGTGATTTTTCTTTTTTTATTTCAAATGATTTGCTTTGTGCAATATTGAGTTTATTGTAGATGCAATATTGTGGTTGTCAAGGTGAGACGAGATTATGCAGCAATTGTTCTCTGAATCACTGATGTCGCATAATTTGAAAAAATCCAAAGGCTTTGGAATTTATAATCCCTGCAGCTCCCCATGTAGGGGCCAGATCAAAAGTGAACCCTTGAAAAAACGAAGACGATATTTATGTATGACTCTGGGTTGATTTATATTCTAAGGAATAACGATGTGTTAATGACCATAATTGAAGACTTACCTGCCTATGTGGTAAATAAAAGGAAACGCAGCGTCCACTTTTAGTTCATTAAATGTTTATGGTCACATATAAGAACAGAAAGTGCGAAAATGTGATTCAGTGGTTCAGTCAGCGTCGGAGGCACAAATTCCAAATCTAAATTCATTGTTAGTTTCTTAGTCACAGGATGTGTTGATCATATCCTGAACACTGCAACCTGCTATACACGCAAAGCGTTCAAAATCTAATTTAAATCCATTTTCTTATACTCTCTACTGCTATGTCTGTATTTTTTTTTAATACTGCTTATATATTAAAGGTTAGAATATACTTTACATGAACAGCATATAAAAACAAATGTGTGTGCACAGCACGTATACTGCATTCAGTATATAAAGGGATGTTATAACTAAAACGAAATAACAAAAGTTAGACGAAGACTATAACCAAAGCAATAGTTTTTTCTAAGAGATATTTTAAGTTCATATTCTCTCAAAATATAAGACTTAGCAGGAGAGACCTGTACTGTATAATCCCATGTGAACTCCAGCCCCTGAACATAGTCTCATTTGCTGTCTTTGTGTTGAGTGAAGAGCCCAATGACTTGTAGTGGTCCTTTGGAGTAGACTTCCATTTGACAAATACCCCCTTCATCAGAGAGAAAGAGCGTGTGAGTAGCTCTGTGGGAGTGTGTGTGTACTGTATGTGTGTTTGTTAGCTCTTTTAGCTCTCCTCTTCTTGGCTCTGAGAATGAGAATCTGGCTGGTGGCCACAGTGAAGGAGTGAAGACAGACTGGTGTGAAGTCTGTAACCAGACTGCTGTCCTACTTTACCTCCCTGTCTAACGATGGGAAAGACTTTTTGTATGAACAGTGGACTATTAGGAGGCTTGATTTTCATCTGATGCTGCTGCTAAACTCCCTTCACTTTCTTCAGGCCAAGTCACACATATCAAATCAGCACTTGAACACTCAAAGTATGGTATGTACTGTTCTCACAAGCTGTCGGCTGTGTTGAAAGTATTTGCTCTGTTTTGGTAAGTGTTAGCACCTTACAATATGCTGTTTTTGCAGCCGTTGCAAAAATGTGTGGCAGCACAGAAGCTCATGAGACAAAGATGTCTGGCTTTACGCTGTGTGTTTAATATTAATGTCCATCCACACATTTAGTGCATAAAGCTCAAATATCAGTTATTTTGTCATGTAAAGATGTTGTTGCTGCTCTAAATCCAACCTAATTATAAAGGTTAAAAGCTCATTCTTGACCTTGGAAACAGCAGTTGAGAAAACAATCTCACCACAAGGTAGCTGTGTTGGAGCTAACCTCCAACATGCTAAAGCTAGTAGGTCAGCTCTCCAAGACAACATTTGCACAGATTTACTTTGCCGAGCGAATCCACTGATTGCAGTGATTCCACTGAAATTAATTGATTTGGATTTCTAGGTGTAGAGGTTGAGTCTTAAAGTACTAAGGGGAAAAAGTGAAAAATCTACACTTCCAATACAAATGAAAGATGATTGTGTGATCTAGAACACCTTCTTAATGAACCTTGTGTTGAGATTGTTTTTGTCAACTGTTTTTGTCCCAGGTCAAGAATTAACTTTGAACCTCAGGCATATGAGGCCAGTCTTCAAAGCTTGCATTGAGCTTACTTGCATTTGCTTGATATTAAGGTCGCCATGATTACGTGACAGTAAATGTCACAAATTCAGAGGATGAGAAAACAGACATTGTATTCTCTCTATACCCACAGAGGCTTAGCTGTTTTGTCTATATCTGTATAAAGACTAAGTAAAGAATACCGACTGTGAGCTGAGGAACGACAGCCCAAGGTTAGAAATCGGTGCTCCCTCGGTGTCTGGCCTAGTTGAAGAGGCAATCTTGTCGACTTTACTTCAACAGGAAGGAAAACTTGTTAGCAGTCATTTTAGCCACAGTAACACAGCCCTCTAATTGTGCCTGAGTGTTGTCTGAACAAGTAATTTATCTTAATTAGATTGCAAGGGCTCCTGTCTTTTGAAGAAGTAAATCTCCATTCTACCTCGCAGCTTTGTGGTGGCTGACCTTGTCCCTTTTGCTTGATAAGGCCACTTCAATGCAGAAAAGACATGTTTGGGGAAACGAGTGTATTCGTAGTGTGGATTAAGGAAGTGACATGGGTAGAGTTAATAGATGGTTTTCAAAGGAGCTCAGGCACAGGGGATGCCTGTGATGAGTGTTTGTGTGTGTGTGTGTGTGTGTGGAGCATAACACTACAGCTCTCCATATCCTTCAGCATGGTAATCTCCCACAGGGCCTCTCCTCCTCTCTGCTCTGCTATTCACCGCTATCATTAGGATGGACTCCGTGTCACTTCTCACTTCAGCGCTTCTCTCTCTGCTTTCTTAAGGCAAAGGGGGTTGGTGAACAAAGCCTCGCTTGGCCTCCTCCTCTTCTTTTCTGCTCCCTTTCCTTTCTTGTCCTCTCTCCACCCCTCCCTCCCTCCTTTTCCGCTTTCCTTCCTCTGTCAAATCACTTCGCTCCTCGCCCACTTGGGCTGACTCTACTTTCCTGCAGGGCAGTGGAGGTTTTCCTTTTTTTTTTGTTTTTTTTTTTTCCTTCAGCCGTCCTGTGCCCAGTAGGCATGGAAATAAAAAAGGGAAACTACACCAGCAAAAAGACATGTCTAGCAATAGGAGTATAATGCAGCAACAAAAACATTAAAAATGAGACAAAGCTGAGTATATTAATCTCAAATGTAAATATTATGAATCCAAAGCCTATTCAAGAATAAGGATGGTGTCATTCTATATCTTTATTATTGTCAACAAATTCTACTATGAAAAGATCAAAAACAACAACCAGAGTCCATTTCTCAGTATTTTCTCACTTTCCTGATCTGTCTGTGGTACGAATACTGAAGACGTAAATCTTTAAAAACAGCTCACAAGTTTTTTTGTTTGTTTGTTTTGGAGGGGGGGGGGGGGTTGTAGAAATTGTTTACTTAAACAGCTGGTGTATGTGGGAGTCAGTATGATATGGTAATATCATACTATCATACATGGTAATGAACATGTCACCCAGTGCAAAAGTGTCGCTTACTGATGTGTTTTTCATAGTTTTTGGACAATAATGTGCATATATTTATCTATATCTATCCCAGGCAGGAGTTTAACGAAATCTTAAGTAAATAGGTAAAAAGAAATAGAAACACCAAACTGTGGTTTACATTTTGTATGACCATGTCATTTGCAAGTGCCTTCATCATTTCAAATGGCTTCATCATTTCAAATGGTTCTTATATGAACGAAATTCACTGTTGGTTGTTGTATTTTTGTGGGAATTGATGACGATAACAAAAAAATGTAATATCACCAGCTTTATCCTTTTAATGATTTGTTTTTGGTTTGAAAACCTAGTCAGCAAAGATTATTTTACCGCAAGTGTAAAAATCACAGGCTTTTCCTAATTATCCCTTTATAAATAGGCATACAAGAATGTCATATGAATGTTAACACTAGGAGACTTGTGCCATCGTGTTTTTCCCTTTACTATTCTTTGTACTGGGTTCTTAACAAGTACTTTCTTCTAGTTTTCATTGTTTTTGTTCAAGAAACATTTGATACAGGACTATTATCAAGCCATGTAAGCCAAAGGGTAACAAAATCCATTTTCTTTTTCATAATTTATTCCATAATCTGTGGCTTTAAGCATGTTATGTATGTAAACATCATTCATTCAGTATGTGCCTAATTTTATATTAAGTTTATATTTTGCATATTTGTGATTAGATCCCTTAAATATACTGTAATATCCAGATCAAGTCTAAAGGGAACTTCACTGTTGTAATACTATTTTTGTGCAAATGTATTGTGTATAAATCCAGATTATGCATTTCCATGATTTTTCCATAATTATACATATTACCATTAATCATGTTATTAATAAATGTATTTGCTTCATTAGCTGCTTCTTTTAGTCACTTCCCAAGATTGTGTACTAGTAGTGCTAATGCTAAGTGTATGTGTGTGTTCATGTGGTGTGGGGGTGATCAGATAAAACAGTTGGAAGTCATTAGTCTGAATGGCAAAACTGATGATATGTTGACTCAAATGTTTCCCGGGGCCAGTCGTAGTCCGTAAAGTGTTATGTGGTAATAGCTGGGTAGAGCTCGACGTTAATCCACCCACTAACAGCTGTTTCACAAGGTGACGTCGAAGCGGCTAAACCCCCTGCAGTCGGCATGACAACGCCGCTTCCCAGCTACTTCCGCAGGGGTTTATAATCCACTGATTGACTGAATGACTATCTGCTGCTAAGGGTGGGGTGACCCGGCAGTTAACTAAATTGGAATTAATGGACAGAGAGTGATATGTAAGAAGTGAAATGACCCAAACTAATCTGTCTGTGTGGTGGGCTTTCAGTTTGTTTGGAGATACGGCAGTCATTTCCAACAAGGGGGAAAGACTGTAAAGTAACAGAGAAAATTGTTTTAATGATTTGATTTTTCTTTTTTAAAATAATCCACACATTTGTTTTTAGGAAGAACGTGTACACGCATAGAGGATTACAGATTGATGTGAGGCTGATCTTAAATTTATATATAAATCTACCAGCTACGATGAAGCCATCTTCACAAGACATGTCCCCTGCCAACCTGATTCGTTTCTAAGCGATGATAATCTGATTAATAGTTTGCCCCTTTAGTTTCTACATGTTTAGTAGAACAAATGCAAACCAAATCCACTGAAAATGTTCTTACAAAGAAACCAATTCTGAACATGGACCATTCAAAGGTCATTCTTCTTCTGTAGTGTTTCCCTATCCAAATTGAGGATCTAAGGATAGGTGGTTGTCATGTACTGTGGTTTGTGGTTTTTGGCTCTATAAATAAAATTTAAAATTGCCATTTAAAGCAATGTATGAGGATGTTTGTTTCTTTTTACCAGGCACTAGAGCAGCTACACCTTCAATTAGAGAGGAAATACTAATTGGTAAAAATCAAATACCACACTAGTTAGAACGAGAACCTACATAGATCAGGAGAGAACTGCTCTGGGAGAGAAAAATGAATCAAATTCCATTGCTGTCTTTTACATCCGCAGCTGGAGGAACAAAAATGACAAGCGGCCGCCTTGAACGATCAGTGCATTTTATTTTTCCATCACAGTACAAAAATAAATTAAAATAAGCAGAAACTAACTGAAAAAAGTTTAAATTACAGCAACAGCTTTTTTGTCTTTTTCAAATTTCAAATTTTTATTGAACAGCATCAACACCCCTCCCTCGCCCCACCAAGGGAAAACCAAGTCCAACTACCAGTGTGGTTGGTGTATGCTCCTTGCCCATAAGAAAAAAAACATGTCACACATTCTTCTGTACAAATAAAACGCTGTCATTCACGCACACACACACACACACATTCACACACACACACATGCAGCCATCGAATGCCTCTTTTTGAAATTCTTAACCACTGTTTCGTTTTTATATCTACAAAGTACGCAACAAGATACAGAAAAGAATTTGACAGAAATCTTTAACTATCACTTGAGTCTTTTTTCATATTTTATAATCTTTTGAAAGTATTTTCTGAAACAACTACTCAATGATGCAAAGTGGAGAAAAATGGCACATTTCAAGTGAGTTGGGGCAAATGGACAGAGAGAAAAAGATCAGGGTCTCTTTTTGAGGCCCTTTACCCCAATGCCCTGCTTTTTTTCTGCCAGAGCAGAAGCCCATCCAAAGTACGTGTCCCCTTATTGTGCCAGCACAAACACTCCAAATGAACTCTCACTAATCTAATTCCATATGGCAGCCACAATCCCACACGAGGCCACAGGTTGTGACCACCAGAGCCGCTCATTTCCTCTGTTTCATACTAACACAGCAGCAGAAAAGACTTCCATTCTCTGGGAACAACTTTTAAACATGACAGAAGCATTTTGTTGGCACGAGCAGTCCGTTTTCAGACAGATTTTCAGAACACTGCTAAAGAAAGATGTATATATTGAGATGAGGTGTGAATACCAGTAAAAACATTTCACATACATTTCTGGATGGAAATACTGTAGCATCTCCAGTGATTGCAGTCATTATGGAGATGGCAAATAGCTGAAATCAATAAGCTTCAACTATTCTCCTGTGAAACAAAAAATACATACCTGTATTGTTATGCATGCTTCTGTTTTGGTTGTTGTGTCGCTGCCATTGCACACTGCAGCATGTCATTTTAGTCAAGTGGCTTTTATGATTGACAATGTGATTATTCTTTTAGAGGTCGCCTCATCTCCTACAGCCCCTAGATGAATGTGATGTTGCCTCACATTTGATTTACACAGAGGTGATGCTGATGGATTATCCTCAAGGTAAGCTGTACTTTTCTGCAGTGATCCTGAACGAGTGTCATTGAAATAATTTATTCCCCTGGGAAAAATGTGTGTGCTTTCTCTTCCTGATATGTGGGACAGCAGGTTGTATTAACTCCTCGTGCAGGCCAGTGTTGCAGGACAAAATAAGATATTTTCGGGGCATTTTCTTAAGAAGGTCAGTGATGTGTTGTTCTGTCAAGGTGTCCTTGATGATGTCACTTTGGTGATGGTCAGATTTGACATTGGTTTTTATCTAAGGGCTTTTTTGATACGATTCTCATCAATAAATTCCTGCAACATTCATTTGCATAAACCAGATCAATCTTCATTCCCACCAAAGATAAGCACACCTGCTTTACCAGCAAAACCCCTCTTCATGTCCTTCCCTTTGCAAAGTCTCTCATCATGATCTTTCATTTACATTAAATGTGCCTAAATAAATACATTAATGGCAATAAATTAGGTGTAGTCATTAGTAGATGAAAATCCACCCTGTCATTCAACAGCTGGACAAACAGTACAGTATTTCAGACCTGTGGGATTTTCATCAAAGATATGGCACTGTTTTAACATTTTCTATGCTGAATCATAAGCACAAAATCAAACATCATTCCAAAGTGGTTGCAACACAACCTATCGACAAAAGTACAAAAAGAATTTCCCTGGTAAACAAATAGCCTATTTTAGCAAGCATAGCTAAAAAAAAACCTAGTGTCACTTGATTCACAGCATTCTCTAATGCAGATGCAGTTGGTTTACAAATCAAAAAGAAAGTAATAATTGCTCCTGCCCTCCCGGAAACTCTGTAAAATTGCATGGCACACGTGCAAAACATTACATGTCTAAGTAAAAAAGAAAGAAATCAAATAAAACTTGTTCCAGAAAAGCAATAAATAAGCCTCCATAGCTGTAAGCCTCTGGGGAGTAAAACATCCATTAACTTGTTCTTTTTATTTTTTTTCTAGATGAAAATAAAGTAGGTGTTTCTGAACACACACTGTATGACCACTCGTCATTGGCCATACGTCCTTTTGCTGTCTTCTTATCAAAAGTCCCACAATGCAATGTTTGCTTATTGTCCATCCAGTTTTCCCCTGTACTGTAAAAGTCCTGTAAGAACCCCACAAAAATATGGATCCAGCAATGATGGCCCCTGCTGTTCTTTCAGATATGCAACACAGCAAAAAATGTCCAGTCGTATCCGTATTAATGGAGCCAGGTTTTGCAGCCAAAGAGGCCTGCTCATCCGCAATGCATGACGAAAGCCAGTCAGGTGATGGCCCTCCTGCAGTAGGCAGTGCACATCACATCATCAGTCAGAAGGTCACTGGTAGGCTGCTGCAGCCTCAGTCCTCTCCACATTCATTGCTGTAGATGTATGCTTTGTTTTCTAAGGTTTTTTTGTCTTTTTGTCTGAATTGTTTTTTAAGATTTTCAGTATTTCATATAGATATATATATATGTATGTTAGCAAAGGATTTACACAAGTCTGGCATTTTTTGTTTATGTATCATTCTCAAAAAATCTTTCATTCTCGGGTTTACAGAAAATCCTTCCTTTGCTCGTTTGAAAATATAACTTGGCCTTGATCATTACATGTCTTCAACAGGCAAAACGAGTGCTCTTGGTTTTTAAATCCTATGCCCCAATTTTAGGTGACCATTGCAATTGTTATCCCTCAAAGTGTGAAAATTACTGAGCCCTCCTCCAGAGACGCTTTACAGAGTCTTACTAGATAAAGTTGTTATATATGTCAAATACTTCCTAATGGGCCTCGTCCCACTGTAGTTTGGACAATAATAAATAAGTAGCATCACAAATAATCTTTCAAACTTGTCAAAATGCCAGACTGGAGTATCCCCCTCCTTCCCTAAAACCTCTTCAACCCCCACCCCCACCCCCACCCAAAACCCCAGCATCCCCTCACCGGTCGAGGCCAATGAGCAGGCGGCTCCTCTCCTCCTCCTTCTGGCTCTCGTTCTTCAAGTCAGCGAACACCTGAGTGAAGTAGTGCGGGTCAGAGTTGATCTGGAGCATCTTTGCGCTCATCAGGTTGATGATAGATAGGCAGCGGTCCCAGAAGGTCTCCTTGGAGCTCTCCACTAAGAAGGGCTTGAGAGGGTAGGAGATCTCGTTGCCCATGTAGGAGTAAGACAGGTAGAGGCAGGTAAGCAGCACGGCCTGGAGCTCGTGCTCCGTGGCCACCTCTGAGGAGACCACGTCACGGCACAGCATGTATACAAAGACCACATTTGCAGGGGTGATGAATCCCTGGTCCTGCCAGCCTTGGAGCAGCAGGGAGCGGTCCACACTGCGCAGCCACAGCACTGGGTCTGTGGGTGAAAGGTGTTTCAGCCGGTAACAGCGCCGGCACAGAAACTCCCCAAGGCAGCGCAGCAGCTCACTGGTGGAGGCCTGGACAATCACTCTCTTAGGGGTCCCAGGAGCCACATTGGAGTTAGTCAGAGGGGCCTTCTTGACAGACGATACTGTGTTGTTGGAGCTCTTGGTGAGAGCAGGAGTGCTCTGATCCTGGGCGAAGGTGGACAGGTTGGCGCATGACTGCGACTTCTTCAGGTTTTCATTGTTCAGGTGGGTGACATTGTTCTGGTAGTTGCCGTTGGGCTGCACCTTCTTGGAGCCTTTCTTCTTGGCTGACACTGCTACAATCCGCTTCCATGGGAGCACGTTGATGAGCGAGTGGCGCTTCAGGTTCTTGTCTTTGGCGTTCTTGCTGTTCTGGACAGCTGTATAGTGGCCCACAGTGGCCGGTCCATCCTCAAAGAGAGCTGCCTTTCGGTAGCTGGGTGACAAAGACAGAACGGTTCCCATGGCGACCGTGGGGAGGCGTCCAGAGGCTTTAGCCGCGCTGGGTCAGAAGAGTGTCTGCCAGGGGAGATCCTGAGGGTCTCAAAGCCTCAGTGCTTCAGACAGCTGGGAGACCAGGGCTACAGGCTGCTGCGGGGCATCTAAAGCCTGGGAGGAAACAGTCCCGTGAATATCTCTCTGAGGAGATAACGATCACCTCACTGACACACTGTTGTATTTCAGCTCTCAGTCAGCTTCTCTGGATGGCCACTGCTGGAAGCAGAAAAGATCAATAATTAGAAAAATAATTGGTGAAGGATCAATTACCTTCAAATTATCCACGGATGTTTACAAATAGCAAATACAATGTATTTGATCTCACATTACATCTATAATTAATCAGCTTACATCAGATAATATCATGGTTATCAAATCTGTAACGTTTGTGAATGTGTGCCTTAGTGGTTTATCTGCCAGCAGCCTACCTCAGGTCTTATTAGCAGCATTGATTTGACTCAGTAAGTGGTGGAATGGATCAGCCTATAGCTTATACCAATTAACTCAAACAGTATAGATCCTTCCTTGCTACAAATGATCAATGTAATTATCAGGCGAATCATCAACATAACAATAAACATTTAGGTTAGAAATTGTGCTGCATCTTATATTCATCTGCAGTACATTATAGAGCATACAGAAAAATATTATTCAATTATTCAAAGGAATTCTACTCCACATTGGATTGAAATAGAACATATATGATAAATTCATAAACATTTTATAATGAGACATCCATATTTTATGGGCAATGGCCGACGAGTGAACCACGCGCCACCCTTCTCACTAAAATGGAAGACTGAAACGTAAACACCTTAATAACAGGTGAAGGTCGCATTAGATGGATGTGGATCCTGCGTATTAAAGCCCATATCCAAGGTCCTACAATTTTCCTCCATTAAAAGTAGATAAACAAATAGATATATGATTATTTATTTGCACGGCGTGTTTTCATCGTCACTGCAGTAGGCTACATATGCATATAAAGGACAGTCGATGGATCGACTTTGCTCACTTGCGCAGAATCCATGCTGCTCGATCCTTCATTCCATCATCCTGTTATTAATCCGATGACTGATTCGTTAATTGTGGAGAAACTCCAAAACATCAGATTTTTTATGTGACATAACTGGACTAAAATAAAAATGAAAGGACGTAATGGACTTCTTGTTGTGATGAGGGGTTGTGTAGCCTACATCGCGTGCTCTCCATGGTGCTGAAACTGAGCGTCTGCGTCGAAATGAAAACGTTGGCCATAATAGGCGGTGGCTTAAAAATGAATAAAATACTCATCTTTTCCACCCATCCGTTAATATCTGATAATATGTGGGTGGAATTGCCTGTCTATAACTTCACATGCCAGTTTCTTTCAATGTATGGCTATATTTTCCGCATTACATGTAGCTGCGCATCACCTGGTTTAAAATAGGCTATGTTGCATCCACAAATCTGTGCAATCTAAACTCCAACACTCCCAGCACGAATATGTTCCAAAATGAAAGCAAACTTACCAGATCTCCTGCAAAATGCGAATATAATTGCGCTGCAACGATGGTGCCCTGTGTTTCGAGCCTGTTTTTCCTTATAAAACGCGATTAAAACATAAAACCATCCCGGAGAATATAAATACAACAAAGTAAATAATCCGAGCCGAAGCAAAAAGCAAGTGGTGGTGTCGGCGCTGCGCAGACGATGGCGGGCAGTTGTGGAATGGATGCTTAGATGAGGATGTGCTCCTGGTCCTCCTGGCCGTGAGATGCGGATGCTGCGAGGGCTGATGTTGTGTTGGTTGACTGACTGTGTGAGGATGGTTGACGCAAAGGCGGTGGTGGGGCGCCGCTCTGCGCTCTGTGTGCGATGCTGTCTCTGCTGGCAAACAACTCCGCCTAGAGCCACAACCAGCAGGCGCTCATACAAACTGAACCCAGTGAACTCCGAACATGTTTTTCTTCATAACATCTTTAACACCAACCTAAAATCAACACCATTCATCCAAGCACTTAACGTATGAAGTGAGTTGGTAGGCAGGTTCTGTAGTTGTGAGCCTTTACTGAGTAGGCCTACAATACCACTGTATTACATCGTCCTATATATATATATATATATTTATAGGTCTAAATTTGTCACGTTTTCATGACAACGAGGCAAGGCCTATTTAATTTTGGCTCAAAATATTTGGGTTGGACAAGCATAAAGGGCCTAACTCTGTGATAAATATTATAAAAATAATAAAGTGTAACGTTTTTAATGCTACCTGCTTTAAAACTGAATACTAATTGATTCATATTATCAAATCAAATGCGAAGCAGCAAAGAGAGCTTCTGACACGTGTTTACGAGCACTTTTATAACATGACTACAATTCCCAAACGTCTCAAAATCCCGACATGCAAGTCGAACGCTGACGTCACGTACGCAGTAACGTAGTCCCCGCACGTAATTTTCATTCAAGTAGCATTTTGAATAAGGAAGATGGCGGCTGCAGCAGTGGTTGAGTTTCAGAGAGCCCAGTCTCTCGTCAGCACGGACCGCAACGCCTCTATCGACATTCTCCATTCAATAGGTAGGTGTTCGGCTTAGGTTTTGAGATGGACATTGTTCCTCTGACCGCGGTGATGTGCTTTTTTTCTGGCCTGCGAGGTTAGCATGCTAGCTAGTGGCGTTCAATAGCTAGAGCCGGTGATGTGCCGTGCTGACTCACTGTTGAACGGTGGGTAACGGCAATTGCTAGTGGACGTTAGCGAGTTAGCATCTTTGCTAACTTTAGGCCTGGGCGTGAAATATGTAATAGTTATCAGTAATGTTATGTTGCTCACTGTGTAATTGGTTCTTGTCATTGGCCAACGTTTCCAAACTAGCTACCATTAGCTCTACTTAAGACTGTCACATTAGCATGATTACTGTTTTGGTTAACGTTAACATCACTAGCTTGTAGTCAAAAGCCTTTTAACCAATTTCATCAACAAAGTGAAAGGCAGCTCTTTTACAGAGGGAAAATAACTACCCATATTGTTATTAATGGAACACTTAGGAATAATTGACCAAGGTTTGCTTTTGTGTTTATGGTTGTGTAAACACACGAGCAAATGGACGATGCATCCTAAACAACATATACTGGACAGCTCTTGCGTTACACATCACTGTCTTCAAATTGCCTTGTCACTACAGCCCACTAGCTGTCAAGCTGCCCTGCTACACTGTTTATCCCTCTCTAAAATAAATGTTACGGCAAAGCATTGATTTTGTTCTTAGTTGTGGGGTAACGTTAAATTGATTCACCAGCAATTTGACAGAAAAGTAATCAACTGAAATTAAGTTATTTATCAAACAAAAGGCCAAACATATACTTATTCCTAATGGTGAGGATTTGCTACTTGTCTCTGTTTTATATAATTAAATATTAAAAAATATTTAGGTTTTGGACTGTTGGTCAGACATGGAAAGCTATTTTAAGACATCACCTTGGACTCTGGAGTATCTGCATTTTTCACTACATTTTAATTGGCCAAATAATATATACATAAACCTAATTTATAGTTCCATAAAGTTGTCTGATTGGCACGTGGACCGAATATTGAAGTAATGTCAATATTTGAGAACATGAAACAGGACTAAGTCAGGTCATGGCTTTCAAAGCTTAAAAGTCCACGACTCACACTAATTAAATGAAAGTGCAGATAAAATAAGCAAGTTGGTTTCTGATGTTAACTTGTTGCTTTTGTTTAACAGTGAGGAGAGATGTTCAAGAGAATGATGAAGAAGCTGTCCGGGTTAAAGAACAGAGCATCCTGGAGCTGGGGACACTCCTGGCCAAGACCGGACAGGCTGCAGGTAATGGTCAAACTTTGATGTTTACTTTTCAGCTAAGCCTATGAACAATCTAATTGAACATGTTATTTTACCAGTTTCTGACTTTTTTCATTGTTTATTTCTATTTTGTGGCTCTCTCCAGAACTAGGGGGTCTGCTGAAATTTGTGAGGCCTTTCCTGATTTCCATCAGCAAGGCCAAGGCGGCCCGACTGGTCCGCTCTCTGCTGGACCTCTTTCTTGACATGGAAGCAGCAACAGGGCAGGAGGTTGAGCTGTGTCTTGAATGCATTGAGTGGGCCAAGGCAGAGAAGAGAACATTCCTACGACAGGCTCTGGAGGTAAGGAGGTCAAGAATAAGCTTCTGGGTGCTGTCATATGGCATAAATGTAACTTAATTGCACAAATATTGCAATATCAGCATGCCTTACTGCTAGGGGATGTGGTTATAAGGCAACCTTTTCCTACTGGCCACTATCACCCTTTCAGCTGGGAAAAGGCCATGGATTAAAATAACTGCAGTATGTACTAGATATCACTAAAATCTGAAGCTTTCAAATGGTTCATAAACCACTTGGGTGTCTTTTGGAGAGCTGCAAAAGAGGAGATTGATGTTTTTTAGTCATTTTACCAAACAGTAGTTAGCAGTGACATACAACACTGTTTATAATTGATTGATAGTGAAAATAAAAGTCGACATCCCCAAACATAAATGTGGGAGTGATCAAATTTAACATGTTCGAAGTCATGGAGTGAGAGACGCTGTGATTTTAGACAGATTATGGTGAAGCATTTGGTTGTTAATAGATATGCAACACTGCCACTGTGAAATTACTTTGGGTGTTAAAACCAAATAAAGATGTGCTGCTTAATTAAATGATGATGAAGCATATTTGTAAACTTGATGCTAATACATCTACTACACACTGCCATCTATGATGACATAACCCTGCTATTGCAGCCAAAATGGGCTTCGTGGCCAGATGACTGCCAGCAGGTTCTCACTCACAGCCAGGAATATGTGGAGGTTTTGGCTGATTTACAAAATACAGGATCAACAAGATTTTGTATTAGGACTGTTATAAAGTGTCAAAGAAAACAATGTAATGAGACTGTGGCGGGTATGAATGAGTGAAATTAGAGAAGAGGGACGCTTTTCAAACAGGTTGCGGTTTGCCTCAGGCCACACATGAATAATGTGATGGGAGAAAACTTTGTTAATAGCACAATGTCTGTAGCACAAGCTAAGATCCACCTTAAACAGTTAAACGCTGTGTTGTACTTCTAGGAATAGTTTGGTGCATTTTTATTAACAAAATTTAGACAATATGATGTCACCCTGAGATATGTAATGAAGTTTTTAATCTATCCAAAGTATTGGTGGTGATATCAGATTACTAAAACCAAAGAAAGCTTTTCAGACTTAATATTTTGCACCATCATTTAACATGTTTGTCCACAAACAGTAGCCCCAGCAAACAATAATGTAATGCGGCTTCAGGATACTGCATTTCCAGTAAAATGATTATCAGATATATACTATAAAGTTTAGTTCCACCTTTTGAGAACAGTTGGTTCACCTCCTGTCTGGCGTTTTCTGTAAAAAGGAATTCTAGGAATTTACTGTGGTGTGTATTTTAGCAAGTACTTCCAAGAAGTGTTTCATGTTTGCCAGGAACTCCTTCATAAGGATTTGACATTTTGAAGGGAGATGGAAATTTGCTAGTAGCTATATTTTTATTTATTTATTTGATTGGGACAGTACATGTTAATGAACAAACATGGAATACATGCATGTAAACATGTCGGATTGTAGCTACAAGCTAATTTCCATCCGTAGTCGAAATCTGGTACAATATTTCTTTTCTCTTTGTATTGAGATGAGATTAATATTTTTTTGTGCATTAAATGTATCACAATTAATGTAATTAACTAAACTTTATGTGAACATTTAAATCTTTATCTGTGAAATGTTTTTAGAAGAAACATGTGGCTGTGACGGAAGGTACTTTTGCAAATGTGCAAAAAACGTGAAATGTAGCCTTGCTGGGGCTTCCCAATTTTGATTGGGTCAAAGATAAGGATACTGTCTTTTGATATTTTTCATAACTGATATCCCAGTAGTTTAGTAGGTTATTGTCTTTGAGGTCCATGGAACATGTTGCAGCTTTTCTACAGGGCAATAGATTGGCACTGCTGCTCTCTGCTTGTCTAATAGCGCACTCTCTTTTTTCAGGCACGACTGATCTCGCTCTATTTTGACACCAAACGATACCAGGAGGCCTTGGCACTTGGTGAGTGTTTAGAGAGAGGACATTTTTATCTTTTGGCAAATAGTTGTTTTTTTTCATTTTTCTCTTGCTTCAAAGAGAAAGGCAGGCATTGCTATTGGCCCTGCATAACACACAGATTTTCTAGTTCACTTAAACACATAAACTTTTAAAAGATTTTTTTTTTGTTGCACCTGAGAGTAACAAGTTAAAAAGTAGCTTTTTATTGAAATTTGTGGTAGAGCACATGTGCCAAAGTGACAAAGGTAGCTTATAAACTAAGAATCAGAATCCGCGTTATTTCCAGGTATGTGTACACATATGAGGAATTTGACTCTGGATTGTACATTGCTCACGATGTGCTTGCTCATACAAAAATACAAAATCACAATAATAAGAATAAAATAAAGTCAGACATAGACTTCAGTGTAAACCACACAAATATATACACACTGAACAAAAACAATATAGACATATTGACAAATAAGGGTTTGCAAAGAAGTTAGATGTGTTTTTACTTAAAAGAAGATGAGAAAGAACAGCACATATCAGGATTACAATTGTACATTTACCCCCTAGCTGTTTAGTAAATGTTGTGCAAAGTTATTGCAACAGTTAATTTGCATGACATTAACTCTTATTCATTCTCTTTCCCTCAGGCTCCCAGTTGCTCCAGGAGCTGAAAAAGATGGATGACAAAGCTCTTCTGGTAGAGGTGCAGCTGCTTGAAAGTAAGACGTACCATGCTCTTAGTAACCTGCCCAAGGCCCGCGCAGCCCTCACCTCTGCCAGGACCACCGCTAACGCCATTTACTGTCC